ATTAGGGACGGCTAGCGCAGATAGCCCTCGTGTAACTTTGCGCGAAATTCAAAAACAAACAAACAAATAAACTCGCACGAAGTTATTATTTTTTATCAACCACATATTTAATATCATCGAAATGAGCAAAACAGTTTTAGTTCTTACTTTTCCAAAATAATTAAAATCGGAAGTTTTATTTTTACTCTCTGAAAGGATTAATATTTTTGAATAACACGGTATAGTCATAATTAATGCTGAGAAAAACGTAAGCTATTATGAATACTGTAACAAATTTAATTTGTTCTTGTAAGTGTTGTAAAAAACTTGAACTATTGTTGTGAACAGTTGGAAAATATTAATTGTTTTGAATAGTAAAAATTTTAAACCGTTGATGTGTCTACTGTAAAATTTCAAACTGTTAATCTGGAAACTATGAAAACCTTAGATTATTGGGAATCTTGTGAAAGACTTTAACTGCTGTTATAGTGTCATAAACTTAAAGAGTAAATAGGAACATTTTGATAAACTTAAGTTGTTGATGTGAACATTCAAACTCTTCTTAAAACTTTGAAAACTAAAAATGTTAATGCAAGAACTTTAAACCGTTGTGAACTCTGTGTAAAACATAAGCTGTTTAGAATATTGTAATAATCTTAAATTATTATGAATACTGTAATAAGCTTAGTATATTGTTTTGAGTACTTTGAAAATCTTAACTGTTGTTCACAGGTAAACCTTTGAAGCTGTTAAGATGAATACTGTTGATATGAAAACTGTGAAGCCTATAATTTTGTGAATACCGTGAAGAATTAAATATTTAAAAAACCTAAGATGTTGTAATTATTGTGGAAAGCTTACATTGTTGTGTATATGATAACAAACTGCTGATGTAAATTTATAAAATAACATACAGTGTGTATGTCTGTGTAACTTCTCCTAAACCGCTTTCTTTTAAATTGCTGGACTTAAGTGGTCTCAAACGAATTGTCTCGGCATCGAAGTATGCACAAAGATAAAACTTTTCACTCAACATTTTCAGGGAATCCGGGTATTTCGAGAAAACACTTTACAGGGATTCCCCGAAATAGGACCCAAAATTTGGCATTGATTTACATTAGAGAACGTAAGTAAGTATGCCTACTAATTACAGTTCGTAATTTAAAGAAACTAATTTTGCATTATTGCAGCAATGATCATGAAATTGAAAAGTACAAAATAGTAATTCAGGCATTAAATTTTTATTATATCGGCCCCCTAAATGTGGGCCACAGGTTCGCTAGTACTTTAATAAGCTCAAATTGTTGATGTGAAAACTTCAACTATTCTTAATATTTTAACAAACTTAAACTGTTGATTAAATAATGTTAAGAACAGAAACTATTGTGATTATTGTGAAAACAAACTTTTGATGTGAATAATTTTGAGAACACGCTGTTGTGAATATTGTAAAAACCTTAAGCTGTTTCTAATATTGTAATCAACTTAAATCGTTTTTTGTGAATACGGTGAAGAACCTAAACTAGTGACGTGAAACTAATATAGACTACAATTGTTGATGTGAATATGATGATAAGCTTAAATTGTATTGTCGATATGAATATTATGAAAGTTTTTATTCTTGTTAATGCTGTGAAAGCTTAAGCTGTTGATGTGAATACTGTAAAACCTTAAACTATTGATTTTAATACTGTGAAAAAAAATTCTGATATAAATAATCTCAATTTCGTGTTGTTGTTTTAATGATTTGGGGATTAAAGGTCCTGTAAAGTTATTTATGTAGAAATATTTGATTAACTATGTGTTTATTATTTTATTATTTTGGGTGTTTTAAATAAAAAGTACTTTTATAAAAAAAAAGGTTAGAAGGTTTGTTGTTTTTTTTAAATCCAAAATGTAGTTATTTAGTATATATATAAATAGACATTTATATATATCGTCAATTTATACCTTGAATTATAACTTTTGTTAATAAATTGAAATTCTAATAACGGACAAAATAGAGGTTTTATACTTGGCAAAACTTTTAAGACCTGATAGCAGTTAAGCTCAAAAGTAAATAGTTTTGATATTAAAATTATTTGAATAAGATATAGAAAACATCGTTCCACACATTGACACTCATGGCTATTATAGGTAATTTATTTGTACAGCTATTAACATAGCTTCACGACATATATATTGATAAACTTATTAACAAAAGAAATGTACTTAATTTATATTGTTCAATTTCTCCTTTTCTGAACTAAGTATTTTACAGGTTAAAAGTAATAAGTAATGAAATCTGGTAAAATGTATTTTCAAACGAATATATACTCAAAAAAAAAAGTTTTATATTTATTTACAATAAGTAACAATGTCAAATGACTAAGACAAAGGTAATTTATAAGATTAATTAGATAAATATTTTCTTAGAAAGTATTTATAATCTAACCATTAATAAAGATCATAATTCATTCTGGGATAGTATGCTTGCTTAAGTTCACAATCTCAATTACTTTGCTATTACTTCTATCTTATAGAGCAGACCTATAATGATTTTATATAAGAAATAAACTATAACATGTGATTAAAAATGCTTTTAGTGTTTGAATTAACTAGCAGAAAAATTATATAGGTTTTGTATTACTTGTGATCTTCTAACCAATTTATTCTACTAAGTCTGTCTTCTCAAAGCTGAAAGTACAGACAATATTACAAGCTTGATTACATTAAATTAACAATAAATTAAGTCTACAAGATAAGAAATGTCTTTAGTTTTTGCACTTTTTAAAATTCACACTTTATTTATCATATATTTTTCAAGACTATAAAGTGTCTGTTGCTGAAACCTACACTTTCTGTTTAGTATATTTTAGAGGTCTTACACGTTACAGGTTATTGTAATGAAAAATTAGTTATGTTTGGTATTGTTGGACAGATTGTTCGTCTCAAATTTTACAAATTAACAGTTTCACTAAATGCTGTGAGTTCAAATAACCAGATTATATAAACTATTAATTATAAATAATAAAACATGATTATTGTTTCATAAATACCAAGATAAACTTTCATATGAACATGTACTGAAAAAAAACTGTATTATTTGAAATTGTTGATTAGTGTTATTAGTGTAAACATACAGATACAAATTATCAAACTGCACATCTAATTTCATTTAAACTTATTTTGTTTCGATCACAGGAAGTTCACTTGTATAACTGTCAAGAAACTTTCAGTTATTTTTAATGTAATCGCCACAAATAACCTGCTTTGTTGATAATTGTTGTTATCATTGATGTGATACAATTCAGAAGTGTAATTTACGGAAACCATGATAAAATAAAAATCTAGAAAAGAAGAAATTAATTTAAGCAGTACTCAGAAGAGGTCGATATTTGCAACGTATGTGGTTGACGCAAGGTCGAATTTGGTTTCTGTTCTTCTATCCACATTGAGCGAATTCATGAAGGGTTAAGAGAGTCTGGGTTTGACAGGCAGGAATGGTGCCTCCCAACTTTATACAGCGGCCTGGAATTCTTTCTGTTTCACACTGTTGAAAAGAAAACAATTATAGAATTATGAAATACAATCGTAAAAAGTAAGAAGCGTAATATAAAGGAAATGCTTTTGGTATACCTTAATACAGATGCATGTGTATGTGTGTGTAAAGCACAAAAAAACTGTTTGAAGAAATAAATCTAATAGTTTACTCAAGTAAAACCTTCATAAAACCTTTGAAGTATTGTGAAAATAAGATGCTGTTTCTATAATCTAAACGTACTTTATTTTAGTTCATAGCAAAATAGATGAATCAATCATTGCATGAAGTTCGTACATAGATGTTTGAATGAAGTAAGTCACACGAGCAGTAACGCTGTGTTAGTATATTGTTAATTGAAGTGAAACTACAAAAAAATCATATGATTTTGGTTTAATCTAATGCAGAAAGTGAAGTTAAGAAATTTTAAAATTATTTTTAAATCATAAGAATTCGTTGAAAAACGCAGTCGATAATAAAAAAAGATAAATTTCAGTTCATAAACTTTAATTGTTTTAAATATTTGTTGTTATATAGTTAAAAACACGTGAAACAATGGTGGTGCAATGTTCTGAATATTTTATATCACTCACTCTCTACTATTTAGATGAATGGACAAATTATCATAATAATTACCAGACATGTTTATTATTCACCTTTTGTGTTTCAACGTAACATTGAGGATTTGTCACAGGAGGCGGCGTGAATGCTCTCCAGTCATCTGGGTTGAAGTTGTCCATTAGCTCTGTATCCTCATTTCTTACACCTTGGCCATTATTTTCGTTTGAACGCAAAGTGGCCAGTAGACTTTGAAATCTGTTTCTAAGAGTCTGTAAGTAAGTGCTACATTATAATAATCAATACAGAAGAAACAAGTATAGAAAAAGTGCGTATTTAGAGCAGGATTTCATCTATATTTTAGTCCGTAAAGTAATGTACTGAGCTTCGAAATAGTTTATAGACAGCCTTATCATGTAATTTTGTGGCTCGGCCGAAACAAAACAGCTGGACAAGACTACGTATTAAATGAATACGTGTATCTCTGTATCTCCAGCTCTTGCAAGGATAAATGGTTTAAATAATAAGTTTCACATACCTTTTCAAAGAGATTAGGTAAAAAAAAGAGTACTGATATGTCATGGAAGATGCAAAAAACTTCATTTTCATATTTTGATTGTGTACGAAAGTTGTTTCTGAGTGCTAATACAGGAACAAATGAAATATATTATCCCTAACAGTGACTTTTATTAACGTAGATGACCATTAATAGAAAAGTATCGAACTGATTGAAATCAAAACTATTTTAGAATGACTTTTATTTAGTAATGATATTATTATTATTCAATAAATATTACCTGTTTGAAATTTGTTATTGTTGCCTGCAACTTTAAAAATACTTCACAGTTTGCGGCTGTGGACAATAAATTAATACACTCTTGCTCACAGCTGCACGTATGTAAAAAATATAGAATAATAAATCTAATTAAAGAATCTAAAGTGCTCCTCATCATTCGGACTTGTGTTCTTAGAACCTTGTTTAACACCCTCTTTCACTGATCACAAAATATCAAATATGAATATTTTTAACGTTGAATGAACAAACTGAATAATCTGCACATCTACCTATTGAAAATATGGCCGTTAACTTTCTTGTTAGAAAATGTCCAGTTAGTTTCAACGGTGTATTCAAAACATTAGTGGAATGATAGATGAAAGCTAGAAATAATAGGACATAGCACACACACAAAGAGTTCAAAACGTTTTCACTATACTTCTTGAGGAGTGGCATGCAAAATGATCAGAGTTTTTTTTTCTGTTTTTGTTTTTAGTGGATTATAATTCTAAACCTTAAAACTAACTCCCCCCACATGTTTTCCAACTATATTTTTTGTAGTCAGGACTCTGTTTCTATCAATGAGAGAAAACAGCTAAGATACAAGATCGCACGGGGTTAAGTATTAGATATTCTTTACTGTTTCAAGCTGTAGTAATTTAATACTTTTGAGATAGTTCCGTGATGGTTGGAGAACTCAACAAGTTAAACTCATATTACAAGAAGTATCCTATGTTTACAAACTGGGCTATAAAAGTAATGTTTGAATTTATTGGAGTCATTTGATTCATCTGTTTACACATATATTTATCTGTTTATTAAACACTTACGTTAACTTGGTTATTAGGGTCTGCAGTTTCATCGCCCAGAGCTGTCATTGTACCTCCTATTATCAGGATGGCAGCCAAAAGATAAGTAGTTTTAGAGAATACTTTGTGATCCATCTCTGCCAGAACATGTAGTTTCACCTTTGAATCGAAATAGTTGATGATATTTTTACAACCGAATTTACCAAACACCCACGTCTTAGCTACATTAAAAGGTGTGCGCAAACTATCGGCTATGACTATAGTATAGTCGTAAAGAAAGAGTTCATCTTTTACAGTTAACTCGAGTTTATTAATAAGCTAATTTAAACGAGCTTAACGATGAAGTTTACTCTCGAAATACCATTTTACAAAATACTAGTAATATTTTAAAACGAGACCAAACTTACTCTTCAAATAAATAAAAAGTTGTTGTACAGTTGTTACATGGAAACGAAAAATGTCAATTATAATTGGAAAGAAAATATTGAAGATATACCAGGAAGGGAAAACAAAATAAAAAGGGATCTGTTGTCTAGGCGGTAGACAGTCCTAGCATATACGCATATTTTCTCATATATATACATATTTCAGTTTTCCTGATATCAGTTATCTAGTCCAATATTCAATAAACAACACTACCAAGGTTAGACATTTAGGGAAAAAAGAAAACATTCAGCACCTTAACATCAAATATTAGACCATAAACAACAACCATAAATATATAAGCATCAACTGCAAGTGGCCGGAACAACAGAATCACAGACCCGTGATTAAAATAATCTAATGTAATCAATCATAAGTGGATCAAAATTGGGTAGAATAAAAAACAAGGAAAAAATTATATTAGTTGCCGAATAACTCGAAGCATTATAAATGACTGAGGAAATAGGAGCCCAAAGGTGTTCCGTTGCGTTTCTTCAATTAACTTTGAACTATATTGTTTCTATCGTCTAACATCAACACTACACTAACTCTGTTATGTGAAAATCGTCAACGATAAAACAAAAGAAAACATGAACAAATAAAATGACAATAAAATTCGGTTATTTTTTCAAAGATAAAGGTGAAAACAAATGCAAGTATTCTTTTGTTGTATTTTTCGAATATGTATGCTTTTTTATAGTAAAAGTTAGACCATTTGTCGAATTTTCTACACTAAATTATGCTACAGATCAAAATATCGCAAACATAACAATACTCGACTAAATTTTTAACAAGAGCAACATTTTTATAAAATTCAAATTTACTCAGTTTTTGTTGTGCTCTTATGAATCATTTCGCGGTCATTCTATAATAAATATTTCTTCGGTAAAATTCGTAAAAAAATTTAAAACATTTTCATTTCATCAACTAATTAATAAGTATTTAAATGTTCAAAAGAAGTAACTGTCACTAATGGGACTGTTTATTGGAATAAAACTAATAAATAGCTCAAAATATTTTTTGCTAACACACTTTAAACATTTATGTATGTATGATAATACGAAAATCATGTATATTCTAAATGATTAATGACTAATAGTCTTGAATGAACAATGTCAAAAATAAACGTATGTAAACGAAGGTAAAGATATACTGTTTTCACGCATTACTTCTTTAGGTTTTTAAATTAAAATAACCATTGACGATCTTTATATGGTGTAACTCTACTGAAGCGTAGGTTCTACTTTCAAATACTTGTCTTTTACTAAGTAGATATTCCCCTTCCCATAGTATAGTCGTACCATAGTTTTATTTGTGCTAATCAAAGCGAAATTGTTAATCAGAATAAGCTAGAGAAAGCGCTTCTAGTACCACTTCACAGCACACGTTCTGTCAAAGTTAACTGGTAAAACGTATGATTTAATTTTAGAATATAGCTGTAAAAGCAAGTTAACATATAATTAATGGGTTTTTGGAACGAAACCTATTAAACGCTAAATTCGGTTTTGTGAATGTTGTATGCGACAAGAGGGAGGGAGAGAAATATATATCCGTAAAACAGGTATGTTTTAACGTAAATATTTATAATATTTTCCGAGCTTGAAATTGATATATTTCTGCTACCATCGTATTTCTTTTTCTTTTTTTTTTGCAGCAAAGAAGAAGTGTCCAGCTTGTATCCGATATACAGTAACGTTCTCGTGAATAAGGTATTCTTCAGAGGATTCAAACCAAACGTTATAAGCAGAGTTTCTGGTTTGCCGACTCTTTTCTTCTGCACATTCTAGTATATGAATATATAACAGCAAACATTTTGTAACTTAGTATCCTAATTAGTAAGAACAAAATATTTCTACTTTGTTCTGTTAGTGTTCATTATTATTAATTCTTAGTTTATGATATATTGATATGCACTAAAAAAATACACACTTGTAAGGATTTAAAAAAAAACTCACCGATATATCTTCACAAACTGTTCTGTTTCAAACTTTGAATAGAAGTGACTTTTAAGAGTATTACGCCCTTTTTATAGTTGATTAGAGAAGACGTCAGAAGCCGAGACAGCAAAGAACACACACACACACTAAAGTTTTGAATGTGAGACTCCCAACGAGCTTTATTTTTATGACACTTAATTTCGAACGAATTCTTTTTTTTTTCACGTCTCAGTAGAAACAAAAGAATTACAGACAGGAAACTGCAACCGTGTTAGGCTTAGCTTATTAGGCTTCCCTCCTACTCAAGCTCTTCAGTTGTTATCCAGAGAATGATCAAATATATTTTTGCTTGAAAGTACTAATCCTCCTACTTTTTGCAAATGGCAATTTCCTGAAAGAATTCCTACAAGAAACCATATTCCTGTTTTCTAACTGGGGTGAAAAACCTTTTTCAGTTGGTAAATATTTTGACTAAAATTGCAACGTGTTGTCAGGTCGTACAGACGTACAAGCTGACTTCTTTTAACCTTTGAACACAATTTAATGAGTCTATAGTTAACTATTGTATGCTTCACAATATTACTTTAAAGTGGAATCAAAGTCCAGTTAATTTATTCAATTAGCAACGTGAGATGAGGTCTAAAAACTAGGTACATTTATCATCTGAAATCTATTTTATTACCCAGACTAGTTAAAGTAAAATCTTATTAAAAAATTAACTTGTACTAAAATATTACTTTAATATCGTAGACTTCCGCCAAATAGAAAACTATTACTATTAGCTTTTTTGTTTAATGCAAAGCCACAACGGGCTATATGTTATGTTCATCCCGTGGATAAGAACCATGGATTTTAGCATTTTAAGTCGTTAAACTTACTGCTGTCCCATTGGGGGACTTGACATTAGCTCATTGTGGGAATGATTATTACTTTCTAACTTCGAGTTGATAAGTTCTACCAATGCTTCACTTTGGAAACGTTAGAAACGGTCCAGAAGTAACTAAGTGATTAGTGTGCCAGAACTATGGATCCGATGACTCATGGTTTGCAATCCTTTTGGGGCCTTGATTGCGCTACATGAGTGGAGATCAAATCCCTGTATTTGATCAGACAACAGTAGCCCAAGAATTGGCTGTTGTCGCTATTGAATAGTTGCTTTCCTTGTAATCTGTCACTTCAGATTTAGAGACGGCTATAATCAGATTGTTCTCGTGAAGCTTCGCGCGAAATTTATAAACAAACAAACAAAACGGATAAAATCGGCATTTATCAAAATTAGAAACTAATAAACGCAAAGTTTCGATGATTATTTCAGTACTATCAAACTTAAACCACTTAAATGCGATGAACCTTTAGGTGATACATTAGATTAGTGTTCCAATTTAATTCCGATTAAATGTCACGTTCTAATGCCTTCCGGTGGCTCAACGGCAAGTTTGAAGGTTTATAATGTAAAAAATCTGGTTTCAATAGCAGTGGTGAGAAGAGAAAAGATAGATCATTGAATAGCTTTGCGCTTAACGTTCTAATGCCTTCCGGTGGCTTAACGGCAAGTCTGAGGGTTTATAATGTAAAAAATCTGGTTTCAATAGCCGTGGTGAGAAGAGAAAAGATAAATCATTGGGTAGCTTTGCGCTTAACGACAAACAAACACGTTTTAATATTAATACCACTTGGAAACATTTTTACTGGGTAACACAACGTCTTAGGTAAAACATTCCTCTTCATGTACACTAAAAATCTGAAAGAATTGGACATTGTTATTATTTAGAAAATGTGCTGGACCAAAAAGTGTATCAGATGGTTAGTTTCTATTACCAATGTAGATATGTTGTAAGTGACAGCAAACTAAAGTTACGTGATGTGTGTGATACTTACAGTCATATAGTTTACCAATCCATTCAATCACTAGTACTTCCGCTGGTGAAATGAAAACTGTCCACAATAGGTTCTTACTTTTGTTCTATATACAACGGAACAATGGAATTACTCATTTTATAAAAGTCAACTTAAAGTGAAGAAGACATTCACATTTGCGAATCTACCCTCAAGAACTCTGAGTTCATTTTTTTTTATGACTCCTGTATGAAATGTATTCGTTATTTTATTTCTTATACTAAATAAACAACTTTCATAGTAAAAGTAATATTTTTTATTCATTTATTTCTTCGGTTCAAAATACAATTTAACTGTTAGGTAATATTTGTTTTAATTAATGTACGTATATCGTTTTCCAAACTTGGCCCCTATCGGCTAACAGAATAAACTTTTTTTTCAAACAATTTGTTTTGATATTTATATTAGATTCCTATTTTTGCAATAAGAATACGATGATGATTAGATTCTTTCTTCAGAAATGAACTGTATGTTTCAACAAGACTATTCGTGGAGATTGTAAAAAGTGTCATTGAGACAGATTACATTTTACTCATTTTTACAGCGACAGACAAATCGAGTCTTCGTTACAATACCAGTTAAAGTTATGTTATAATTGTTGATCTTCTTTCACCTTTAGCTAATTCTATGGCTTAGCATGTATATCTTACATACAATTTTCTCCACAGCACTGTGGATTATATATATATATATACTGTTAGATATCTAATCTAGCCTTATAAGGATCGTGATTGAAGAGATAAATATCTTATCCATTTTCAGTAACCTATTTATATTCTAAGTTAGATAATTTTACTCCACACTTTTGTTTTGCAAAATAGCAAAGCAATACGAGTTCTGCTACTTGTAGTAGAAATCAAATGTATTTTATACTCTCAATAGAAGGTTAAGTTTACTAATTGGAAAGGTCAGCCGTACCATGGGAAAATGTATATAAACTTAGAAAACTACATAGAAATTTCATTGAACATCTACAAAGTTAAATGTGAGTTATTTTCATTAATTAACAAGTTTTTTTGTTGCTAAGAGCAAAGCTACACAATTTGCTATCTGTGCTATACCGACCAAGGGTATCGTAACCTAGTATTTAGAGTTATAAGCCTCCAGGTGTACCGCTGATTCACTGGGGAGCTTATTTAATAAGAACAATACCATATATATTGCTTTAATAATGTTACTAGTTTAAATAGGGGCGTCATGCAATAAGAGCGTTAGACTACTTATACGTTTTTTCTGTGGTAATAATTCAAGACTAAACTCACGGTGACAAACATAAAGTCCTACGAATTTAAGGAGATATATAGTTCACCCCAAAATTGATTTTTAAATGTATTTACTATACAATTACTTATTTTTTATGGTATACAAGCAAAAGTACCCGTCCCCAGTGACGAAAGAAGTTTAAGTTAATCTAGCAAAAGTACCCATTCCCAGTGACATTAAACGTTTAAGTTAATATATCAACTTAAATTATTTAATGGGCTTTAATGAAAATGTTATTTGTGTTGCACTCTTGGTTTCACTTGGAGCTACTTTTACCGCCCACCAAAAAAATAATTGTTGAGAATTTCGGTCATGCTAAGAGCCACTCAGCAATAACATACGACATTTTTATTCTTTAAGTTACGACACATTTTTAAAAGTGATTAATTTCTAGCAATTTAGTGTAGAATATCCTGCTTGCAAAATAATAAAATTTGGCATCAACATTATTCATGTTTGTTCTCCCGATATTTTAAAAGTGAATGTTTGTTTGCGTGCCCAGCTTTTCAAACGCAGCGCGTGGAGGCCACCGTAAATTGGAGACAGACGACCGCTCGGACAGACACCACGGTTCGCAATATATATATTTCTATGTTATCAACCCTTATCACGCTCTAATCACAGTCTTTGGACAACTTTCTTGCTTTGGCTTTTCTGAACGTTATTGCTGGCACTGCAGGACGACCTTCAACAAGGGCACTGGTACTTCTTCGAAACTCCAATAAGCTACTCATAAGTCAACTACTGAATGCAAATAAGGAAAGTCCTGTAACAGTAATTTAATACAGTTTAACATGTAGCCCCATGAACTAGATGTTTTCATTTTATTAACATTTAAATTGGAAGATTTATTAACATAGGGAAAAAATTTTCATAAGCAAAGGTTACACTCGTGACTCAAAAAACAAAATACTAAAAAGCAAAGTGGGGTGGAAAGTTGTTTATTCTCATATGATTAATAGAGAAAAGAGAACTTTAATAACTAACATTTTAAAATTATACATATTATATGATAAAAATTATTTTTGTAGCTTTATATTCAAATTAGCAACAGTAATTTATGTCATATTTTGTGTACATGGGAGCTTAATGGTGTTCTTAGGAATTCAGTATTATTGCAAACAAACTTCAAGAAATATTTTTTATATTAAAATAGTTTTGAGGGGGGAACATAGGATGTCCAGACTTCACTAATATTATATAATGTCATTTTGTTTTATAAGCTTCATATAAATAGGTGGCTACTTTACTAGTTTGAATTGTGGACAATCGATATACAGCTGTTATATATAAACGTAGTTAGCATTGTAAAAAATAATCGAATTCGGAGGAATACTTGTGTACTTGAAAGTAGAATGCCCTCATTACGAGGATGTCACTAAATTAACATGTTCGTAACTCTATTGTGCAGTAGCACTATAAACCAATGTTATCCACTAATCTTCAGTGCCAGTCGATAAGAAATGTACATTAAAAATATCTAGAGTATGTCCATATATAGAAAGAAGTAGAAATATTTAATAATCTTTATCGTATATTCTGTAA